ATTTGTAAGAGGATCAAGTTCAAAGAGATGCTGACGGATTGGGGGCTGCCCCCACGGAGCCTGTCTCTGGAGAGCTGGGAGGGCTGGAAATGGGTGGTCAGTGGCATGTGAAAGATACAGCAAGCAAGGTGAGACTCTAGCCTGGAGTGCTGAAGCCACAGTTTGTCACTGCCAGAAACCCAGAGTTCTGGGGGCCCCTTCAGACAGCCCTAATCCTACCATTACTACCAGGATCATGGGTGGCACACGGGGAAATGAAGATAAAACATTTTGACATCTGAGTCTGGGACTGGCTTTGTTTGTCACTGTGCTCCTGAGACAAGTTAATTAGGATCACTACTGCTGTGATGATACATGACCAGCAGCAATTTGGGGAGGGAAGGGTTTATTTGGCTTACATGCATACATCATGGTCTAATACTGGAGGAAATCAGGGAACAAACTCAAGGGAAGAAACCTGGAGGCAGAAGCTTATGCAGACAGAGGCCTTGGAGGGGTGCTGCTTACTGGCTTGCTCCTCGTGGTTTGCTCAGTCTGCTTTCTCATAAAACACAGGACCACCCACTCATGGGTGACACCGCCCATAGTAGACTGGGCACATAACTCCACATCAACCAGTAATCAAGGAAACGCCCCACAAACTTGGCTACAGACAATCTTACAGAGGCATTTTCTCAATTGAAAAAAGAAGAAAAGTTTCTTTCTTCAGATGATTCTAGGTTATATTAGAATGACGAAAACTAGCCAGTATAGCAAGGTATGAAAACGTGGTCCTCATGTACAGCTAGGTTGGTGAATCTAGACCTGCACGAATATCCTTATTAATTTGCAAAAGTTGCAGATCCATGGATAAATCTTAACATTAAGAGAGGTCTTTGGTAATGTAGGATATTGTGGCGTTGTTGTTGATTGTGGTCCTTCAAGCAAAGCAGCTGCCATCTTTATCAGCTCAGCTATGCCTGCTTGTAAGCAGCCATCAGAAGCAGGACCATGGATACTTGAGGTTCCCTCATAGAGGGAGAGCATGATGAAGTCCGAATCCTCATCTGAGGGTCCAGCCACTCTCTGGGCCACTTGTATGTGATTCTGTCCTTGCTGCACATGGCCTCTGGGGTCTCTGGAGGTGCTAGAGTCTGTAAGCTGGGGGAGTTAGATGAAGGGGCTCCATCTATGTAAATTTGGGGGAGCCATCATCAACACTGGGGAGACTTTGTGGTATAGTTGCTCTGGGATTACCCAGGCTTCTGTGAGTAACTCTTCATTCATGTTCTGAGAGTAAACCCCTAGGATGAGCTCTGGTGGAATCCTAGATTGTAGCTGGGACATATGACATTGTTTATGTCTGCTCCAGAGAGGGTTCTCACAACAGGAGCCTTGAGAAATATTTAGATGAGATGTGGAACTGGGGCCCCCATAATGACATTAGAGATTTCACAAGAGGAGGAGCGACCTGGGCTCTTTTGTTTGTCCTATTTTGCCATGGAATGTCTCTGCCATGTTGTGATGTAGGAATAAGATCTTCCTTAACGCTGGGAAGATGTCAGAGCCATCTCTCTGAATTTTAGACCAGACTAGGCATGTGTAAGGGACAGTCTGACCGGTGAACCTTGGAAGTCCATGGCCAGTGATTCTGAAGAGAGGCTGTGGGGCCCTCTAATATGTTGCTTACCAGACCTTCAATCTTGAATAAAGCATACAGTTTCTGTGTGCTGATTTCCTCATCTGTGAAATAGGAAATCCAGTCTCCCGTGACTACTGTGTGGTTGAACAAACATAGGAGAATTACCCAGAACAGCCCTGGCCTCCATATGTCACTCAATCTGCTTAGAACCAGGACTGCCTTAGCCACTGTCCTATTGCTGTGAAGAGACACCACGGTCAAGGCAGCTCTTATAAAAAAAAAGAAAGCATTTAGTTGGGGGCTTGCTTACAATTTCAGAGGCTTGGTGCATTATCACCGTGGCTGATCCATAAGTGGAGAGATGACTGTGGTTGGCATGAGCCTTTGAAACCTCAAACTACACACCCAGGGACACACCTCCTCCAAAAAGACCACACCTCCTAACCCTTCTAATCTTTTCAAATGGTGTCACTCCCTGGTGACTAAGCATTCCAATATATGAGCCTGTGGGGGCCATTCTTATTCAAACCACAAGGACTAAGGGAGGAAGCTGTGGAGATTGACCAACACTTATCTCAGTTACCAAACATTTCTGGTGGAATCAGCGAACGTAGAGGGAGTCGTGTCTGGAGGTGGTGGAGTCAGTTTTCTTGAACACACTTGATCATGAGTGGGTAGTGTCAGCATCTAGAAGATGAAAGACTTGGGAGTGGAGGGGCCTGTGCATTTTCAGTTATTGAACAGACCCTTCTACATTGTTCTCCCTATAAAGTCAAGGTGGACGCAGACCCAGGCTGGTGTGCCTGCCTCCCCCTCTCCCAATCTGTGGGGTTGAAAAGGAACAAGGTCTCAAGCTGCTTCTGAAGTCGCAACTCCATAGCTCTGATGGAGCCCCCATTCCTGACACTCAATGAAAGAGTCACCAACTGTTTAACAGCTAATGAAAGCAAAACAGGCCAGAAGTTGAAAACTCCCTGTCTTTTAGCATCTCATAACATGCCCAGATCCGTTCCCCAGGGCCCTGGGAGATAACCCCAAAGTCCCATGTAATTCAGCAGCGTGCTCTTCTTCCACCCTAATCTAGGACAGGGGGAAAGATAGCAAGAGGCCAGGAGGGCAGAGCTGCAAGGCCAGACAGGGCTGGCCCTGCCCGATTCAGTTTCTCCAGACATGGGCACCAAAGCCAATGGTCTTAGGGCTCTAAATGAGGACAGACTGACCTACAAAATGGGGACAGGTGGTTACTGCTACTTACTCTGAAGCCCCACATGGGGTATTTTAATAGTACTCTCCATCTGTCCAACCTCCGGGGTTAATCCTTCCTAATCTAGGCCGTAACAATTGGGTAATCAGACAGGACACTCCAAGAAGCCCCGACCCATAGCTTTGCTGTTCTTTTTGGCTGGAGTTGCTATTTTTTTTTCTTCAGTGTGAAGTACAGCTGACCTACAAATTTCCTGCTGGAGTTTCAATCTTCTGCTAAATACAAACAGACACTTGTGAGGAGGAAGCTCGCCCAGAAAGCATAGCTCTCCTGCTTAGGGGAAATTTGAGTCGCTATCCCCCAAAACATAGCAGACTGAGGGCTTCTAGGGGGCAGACCACATGATTCTGTTTTCTGCTACCAACTAAAATGAAGGGGGGAAAAAAGGACCCTAGTTAACTTGGCTAATGAGCTCGCTGGTGTGAGCCCAGGATGAAACCCAGAGTGAATACATCTGCTGAGATTCTGTCTTTTGAAAAAAGTAAGCTTGCTGGGGCGGACATGAGAGAAGCACAAATGAAAGACCAGCAAATCCAGATCAGGGTCTTACCCCCAGAGCCCATGAGGAGTACCCGGTGGGTGGTTAGGATGTGGGACAGAAGGAAGCCTGGCTATTTGGGGATTAACCCATCCTGGAGCAAAACAGAGTCCAATCCCCACCCCCACCCTCAAGGAGACAAAATAACACCCAGGTCGCTGAGCCTGGTTATCCTGGCCTAGTGTCTGATGGAGGAACAAAGGTGCCACCAGTCTAATGAGCTGGAGGGTTACATGCTGCCTCACCTGGGCCAGGATCCTAGTGCTGCCAAGGGCAGGTGTCTTCTGTGCTCTTCACAGAAGAGCAGCACCCAGCATGCAGTGGGAATGAGCGGGCTAGGCGGCAGCCCTTCCCAGTTTACCCTGGGGGTGGGCGTAACCCCAGCCAGGCATTTAATTTAGCTTGTTTCATACAGGTACTAAGTGTTATTTCCTTTAACCCAAAATATTCCTCTCCAAGGAAAAGGCAAACTGACACTGGAGAGCCATGGCTGGGCGTGGAATTCCTAAGCCAGGCCTGTGTCAGGTTAACCATGGAGGCGAGGACTTTGGAAAAAGAGAACAGCTCCCTTCATAATAGGGCCAAGGGGGTGGTACAGGAGGAGGAGTCTCAAGTAGGTCCTCTTAGGAAAAGGCTGGGGACTGTTTTTAGATCGAGTATTGATCACCCTTCATCAGGAAGCCATCTCCGTGCCCCACATATCAGAAGTGTTAGCTGTCAGCAGGGTTAGCAGAGCCCTTGCCTAGTGGGCGTGGTGCCCTGTAGTCAGTTCCCAAAATGCCTAAGTTTAGCCTTTGGGAGGTAGAGGCAGGAGTATCAGAAGTTTAAGGTTATTCCAGGTGAATACATATAAACTTCGAGGCTAGCCTGGGCTACACAAGACTCTGTGTTTTTAAAAAGTGGCTAAGGTTGGAGTTACAGAGTTTGCTGAACATGTGCCAGGCTCTTGGTTTGATCCTCAACACTGCTAGATTAAAAAAATAATAAACAAATAAATGAAGGAAGGTAAGAAGGAAGAAAGAAAAAGAAAGGAAGAAGGAAAAGAAAAAATATTATATATGTACACATGGTTACTTAAAAGCCATTGACTACAGGAGGTGGAAACAAAATGTTTATCTGGAAGCTTAGAACGTGTTTCTTCAGGATGGGGTTCCTTTGCTTTTAGCAGGTGGTAGAGACTGAATAGGTTTTGAGGCCCATGAAAAATAAGAGAAAGTATGTCTGCTGAGGAGAAGGAGAGTGGGATGGTCTATCAGGGTCTGTTCTTATGTGCTTGCTCTTCCCCTGGACTTTGGTATATGACTGGGTCAGAACACATTTCCCTTCCTCTCTTGTAGCCCTGTCTAGAACAGGAAGGTGAGTGCTGTGGTCTGAGTGATTGTGTACTCCTCAAACTCGGGGACTTAAATGCTAGCCCCCAAGGTGATGGCCCTTGGGGGTGATTCAGTCATAACCCAATAATATAAAATAATAATAATTAATAATAATAAAAGAGAGGAGATATAAATACAAATAAGATAATAAATACAATGACCAACAATTCAGTCTGCGGTATTTTGCTATAATAATATGCATGAACCAAAAAAGTAAGAAACGGGCCTCTGCTGGGTTGACGCCTGTGATTTGGGGCTGTATCTGACACACAAGCTACGGAAACCCTACATAACATATCAAATGACTGAGGGAAGTAACCCACCTCCCGTGTGACAGGACTGGTAGAGCTCACTATCCCAAAGACTACCCATCAGCCCCTGATGGAAGTGACAGAGCCACTTGACAGCAGCCCTGTCAGCCGCCAGCTGAGTCCAGTCAGAGTCAGTTTGCGGGAAGTGACCGAGCTGACCGACACTATGCAGAAGGTGGTCTCTCCATATGTGACCTATCACAGAAATGTGCAAGACTTGGAAGGGACACAGGAGAGCTATGGTCCCAACGGCCACGTGGGGTGCATGGAAAAATCGCTGGCTTCAGAGGTGAAATGATGTGATCCAGGAGTCTGATGCAGAGTACACTAAAGCAAAACAAGAACGTAATCAGGGAACATGCTACCGGGACATATGCTATTGTTGTATGTTGGGGTTCGGTGATGGATCAGGACTGGGGGAGTCACTGGAGCAAGTAGACGGAGGTGCAGGAAAAAGATGAGACTTGGCTTTTGGAGGTCGGTGTGTGCGTGTGTGTGTGTGTGTGTGTGTGCGTGCGTGCTCACACGTGTGGTGTGTGTTCTCTTATGTATGTATGAGGTGTAGGTGTCTGGAGCAGGTTTGTGTACACATGTGCACACATATGGTTGTTTCACTTAACTGTGGCATCAGGTCTGCTTCTCTGAGCATTTGGAATTGGAAGAAAGCTGGTATGCGGTATTGGCTGAGTCTTCAGAATCTCCCTGCTAACTTCATTCCTGTATGCTGTGAAGCTGCTTCATAGGAAGAGAGTAAGACCCCAGCTGAGGTCCTTAAGAAGGGCTCTGTTCTGCATCCTCCACCCTGGTGAGCTTCAAAAGAGGAGGAAGATACTCACTCGGAGACAGAGGGGGTCTGCCACTGACTGAGAAAGGGAGCAGGAACTGCAGAAGGCTCTCAGGATTGTCTTTGGGATGTCAGAGCCACTTGCTGTAATGGCTGGATGCTAGGGTGGAAGGTGAGGAGCCTGAACAGAGGGCCTCCTCTATTTCTTCAGAGTGGTCCATGCTTGAATATCTGCTGAGAGGTTTGAATCAAGTCTCCGGGTAATGCTGGCTTTGTCAGAAGTGGGGAGAGAGGAGAGTTTTCCTAAAATGAGATAAAGCACCCCAAGGAGTAAGGGTGTAGAGTCTACAGAGCTTTCTTCGTTCCACTGAATACAGCTTAGCTCTGGAGTCCCTTCCAGCCTCACTTTCCAGCTCCTGGCTGATAGTGGACTCTCCTGTCAGGCTTTCTACTTACCTCCATGGGGATCACCTGACTTCTTGACTTCCGCAGTCCGTGTGACTGCTTTCTACCGCTGTTGCTTGCAGCCAGAGCCCTGGCACCCTGTCCGCACACCCTCTGCTATCTGACCTCATTTGCTCTGATTTTGGCCTCGCCTTGGAGCTGACAGCTGAAGGTACCCCAACCCACCCCGTGGTCTAAGATGAAGTCATTTCTGACAGCGTCTCTGACAAAACAGAGCAGGAGCAAAGGGAAGAACAGACTGCTGGGGATTCTGTGAGGTCTTTTTCAGGCTTAGGCGCATGAACAGGAGACCTGTCAGAGCTCCCATCAGTAAGTCCCTCGTTCTATTCTCCCCACCGTGTGGGAGCTCTCATACCCACTTATGGTTCTCCTGAGTAGTCCTGGGGCACCTTATGGCTCTCACGGTGTACAGGAAACACCTGCTCCTCTTAGGCATCACCATGTTCTTTGTGTTTACTTGGGCTGGCCATGGTGACACATTGCTGACACAGTCAGGAAGGCCATCCACAGACCAGATAGCTTCCAGGGGAATTTTATATTGGAGTAGCTCATGTTTGGTGTGAATTTACCAAGGGACCACAAGGATTTAAACTATAACCAGGGCCGGGATATAGGCGTAAGACAGTCTCTTCTGGGATCGACAGTCACAGCCAGCGCAACTGCCACCTTGAGCTTGTACTGCTGACCTCTAGAGCTACAGGATGCTAGAGCCCTGATGTCTTTAAGCCTCCAGGCTTGTGGTTGTCTACTACGGTAGCCCCTGGAAACAGACTGCTGCTGCTAGAAAACCCAGACCTGTCACCGGCTGCCCGGCCTGTATCCCCTGGGCGCCCACTAGAATTGCAGAGAAGGGCTTATTTAGCTTGTATTGGCTCACTTATATTTTTGATTCAGGTATGAAACTATGGGGACTGGATCCAGGTGACATCCTGGCCTTGGGCATGTGGACACTGTTGATACCGTCCCTCACAAACGCTTTAGGCTGGACCTTTGATCCTCATCGGAATGTCCACTTCAGGAGCACACCTTGGAGAAGCGCCACAGGCAAGAACCAACAAGATCAGAAGCTGGGCATTTCCACCTAGGGTGGGATCCAGACTGGTGGCAAGTGCTGGTCCTAATCTAGGAATCATTCCTAAACCTCCATGGTTAAATACTTTAAAGACTTGAACATAGAGCCCGGGAGCTCTTCCATCCTAAATTCTGATCGTCAGGGTCCCCCAGCGTCATCCACAGGGACTTTGAGGGAACCTTCATCCAGCCCTTTGCATGTGGTGCTCTTTGGGGTTCATCGGACAGAAAATTCCACTTGGCAATCTTAGGACAGGGACAGGGCCTCAGCTGTGTAGAAGACACTCCATAAGGAAATAATGATAGCAACTGTGATGATGCGAGCCCACGAAGGTTGTTTCTCTTAACCTTTTTTTTCTTGTTCTGAGTGCCCCCCTCCAAAGAGAAAAGTTCCAACTCAATGATGAATCCTCCCTTGTCCCGTAAAAGCAAAGCTCACACTGGTTTTCCGGTAAAGTCTGCGGCTCATCCTTTTGTGGAATCCCTCCTTGTTTTGGAGCAGCTTTGCTACTCGGCCATTTCCCTCAGCCCCACTCTTCATCCTCTCCAACTTCACTCTCGAAATCGAGTCCCCACGGAGGGAAATAATGAAAGGAGATACAATAAAAAAAAAAAAAAAACCAACTCGGGTGCTTTTGAATCTCATGTTTGTCTTTTGAAAAATACTTCTGTTTTGCACAAATATGATCACTGGCCCCACTTTGTGAAGGTGGTGGGCCTAGGGATTGATTTTAGGGCCTGTGCAAACTAGAAAACTCTCCTAGTTATATCCTGGGCCTCTTTTGACTTTTCATGTAGAGACAGGGTCTCATTACATTGTCCGTGCTGGTCTTGACCCCTCTCTACAGCTCAGTCAGGCCTTCAACTTTCAATCCTCCTGCCTCAGACTCCCATGTAGCTGAATTTCCAGGCCTGCACCACCAGGCCTGGCTGTTGCCCATCTCTTGGCTATGAAGAGCAAAGTGCAGTTTCAGGTCTGTAGAAATCTTTGCCTGGATTCCTAGCCCTGGTCCTTTATTCTGCCACTCAGCAGTATGCCTCTAACCCTAACCCCCAGGCCATCCTGCTGTCCCTGCCCTCTGTCCCACCTGTGTGGGGGTTTTCATGAATCCCTTGTCAGCTGCTCTCTCCCACCTGAGATGTCCTCAGTCAGTCTGGAGCTCGCCTTGCCTGTTGGCTGCACCGGTTCTAAGTGCCCAGTTTCCTTCCTCCACAGGTAGGTGACTTGGCACCAAGACGCCTTCCCTGCACTGAAGGCTGCTTTGTCCCTTTCTAAGTATCTATGTCCCAAAGGAATGGTATCTGTCCAGTGTCCTTGGTCAGTTTTCTCGCTGGGGACTGAAGAATTCTTATGTAGATGAGTTACATTTGGCCTGTCTTGGTAGTCGACAGCCCTCTAGATAAGCAGGCCACCTACTCCAACTCGTAGGCTCAGGGACCTGCGATTTTTCTAGACTGCTTGTTCTTCCCAGTCGTGGTCTGAAGCAGTTTCAGACTGACATAGTTACCTATATAGTAACCCACATATCTAGCCAGCATGGTGTGTGTGTGTGTGTGTGTGTGTGTGTGTGTGTGTGTAAGAACCGAGACAGACTTCCAATTGTCCTGCAAAAGCTTTCAAAGAAATAACAAATGACTTTCTCTTTATAGTATACCTCATCTTTTGCATGGCAAATAGGGCTCTTTTCCATCTTGTCACGTGGGCAGTTAGAATATCAGGAACTGGGTCAGTGAAATAACTCAGTAGGTAAGGTCCTTTCCACCAAGCCAGACAAGCTGATTGTTGGGACCCACCTGGTAGAAGATAAAAACTCCTATAAGTTGTCCTTCACTGCGGCCCATGTGTGCCCAAACACACTGTAAAAGAAGTAAGTATTTTGGAAAGAAAAATCGTCTTTTAAAAAGCGATAGTGAGAAAAGGCTGTCTCACATCCCTGTTCAGGGAGAGTTCTGTTACCAAGTGGAGAGCGCTGGCGGGGTTAGAACTCAGAGCAGACAGCTCCATTGAACCCAATCTCAGTTTCAAGCATTTTTATCAAAATGAGGAAGGGCAATGTACTGCTCTGAACTCCACAGCCTAAACATGAACCATGGAAGCTGCCATGGCCAACAATGGAACCTGCTTAATATAAATAACCTGTAGAAAATAAGTACAAGAGAAGTAGGAAAGACTGGCGTTTGTATACATATGTAAATAGCATATATAATCAAATAACATTTAAGAATGTTATTAAACATTATAAAAATTTTTCCAAATCCCTCCCTATTTTGCTAATAAGCCCTTGATTAAGAAAAGTTACAATATTTTTCGTCATCTTCAAAGTCAGAACACAGGAAAGTTCCTCAGACAGGGTTGTTCTCTGCAATGGAGTTTTCTTTGACTCTAGACTTCTGACGCCTGTCTGGTTTTTTTCTTGCCCCTTTGGGGAGGATGGCAAGTGGGTCCTGGGGTGTTCGTAGCCGGGCGAGGGTGGGTACAGCAGGGACAGACATACTTACCATACCCCTGAATGGAAGAGGAAGGTCGAAGCCAGGCCTCTAAGGCCCACTTGGAGGAGGACCAGAGCTTCCCAAGCTCGGCTCTCAGTCTGTTTATTCTATTGTGACCAATTGTAGGCTGGACAGTGACTACTGTGACTTAAGCCCTATGTCACTGGAGTGTGGGATGAAAGCAAGCTTCGTGATTTCCCAAAGACCAGGGACCGTTACTACATTTTCGTTACTGAGAGGTGATAATTGCCATTTGACGGATGGCTGTGGCTTCTGTAACAGGAATCAGATCCACACCATCCGGATGCAGCATCAACCCGAAGAACACACTTAGCACAAGACCCGAGACAGGCGTGGACAGATTGGCATGGTTCTTTCTGGGCTTAAAGATCACACTTTGAAACCTATGTGAAGGACCTGAGAGACACAGGAGGCTGCATGAATTCCCAGATAGATGATAAAGGAAACGGCCTTGTTCTTTTGGGGCGTGGGCGAGCATGTGTTGATGTCTGAAACTGGGCTCCCAGAAAAAGCTAGGCTAGAGCAGGAACCTGAGGTGGGTGAGAGTCGAGGCACTGGGGGATCCGAAGCCCCATAACTGCAAATTTCATTTTGTTTTTCCTTTCAGCTCGAGTCTGTAACGAGGGCTCTTGCTACAAAAAAACCTATGTGGAGCCCAGGGTATTATATAAGCCCTCGGCAGGAGGGGAGATAGTCGGGTCTGTGCGCTTCAACCGCTGCAGTCGCAGCCACCACGGCGCAGCAGCAGCAGCAGCAGCGAGAGCCGCTCAGGTTGATTTAGAACGCGGGTGACA